TTGCCAAGAGAAGCTGTGGCTGCCCCCTCCCTGGAGGTGTTCAAGGCCAGGTTGGACGGAGCCTTGAGTAGCCTGAGCTAGTTGAGAGGCGTCCCTGCCCGTGACAGGGGGGTTAGACTAGATGATCTCTAAGGTCCCTTCCAGCCTAGGCTGTTCTAGGATTCTAGGATTCTATTTTTAGCTTAGTCTTCTCCCTCTCTGCCCCCATTCCACCACCTCCCCCCCCTTTTAAAGCCTAAGCTACTTAGGATCTTAATTGTAAAATTTTAAGACGCTTGTAAGCAAAACTGATTCCCTCTTCTCCCTCCCAGTATCCTAGCAGCAGGCATTCCCTACTTCCTCCTTAGCTTTTTTGATAAACTTCTTCTGGCATGTGACACCTACTGCTGCCAGGATCCTGAGACTCTCAGATAGTCATACAAAATGTGATTTGGCATGAGCTGCAGTTTCTATCTCCAAGATGCAATCCTGAAATGCAAGTGCTGTCTCATCTTCAAAAGCTATGTCCTAGAGGCCTGCTAAGTTCTTAAATTACATTCTGTAGGCTTACATCTGCCAGATATACAATTGAGTAATCTTGCCTCGGATTGCGACATAAGAAATTGCGCTGTCTTATGTCTTGATGCAGGGGCTGGTTCTGCATTTAATATGTAAACAACTGTATGGACAACCAAAATGAGTACAGCTTATTTACAAGTGTCTGTGCCTGTTTATTTCCTCTTTAAAATTTATTATAACGTGCTTATTATTTTAATGTGATCTCTCTGAATGTGTTATGGATAACGCTTCTACATTTTAGATGTTCAGTGAACAGCTTGAGTTGTGGAATTGACAATAACAGAACTGACAAGTAATAGGCAGAAACTTTGCCTTCTTTTACCATAATGCTAGCAGAAAATACGTGGTAACTGCTGATTCGTGTTGGCACATGTGACAAGAGTTCCTGTAGGACATTTATACTTTGAGTTTTTCATCATGGTTCATTCTTGTGATAGACCAGATTTTGAATTCCTCCGTTATTGTTTTGAGTATGGTGGAATTGTATCCCCAAATTGTCCCTAAGGTTAGTTGCAGGCCGACTGGGTTTGGAAAACATTGGAAAAACTTCTGTATGTTGAAGGAATCTTAGTTATGTTGAAGGATTTAGTTCATAGGAAACCTTGCCTTTCTGATCTGTGTTGAAGGTGACTTTCACATGAAAGCAGTGTGCTGTGTCCTGTCACGGGAATGAGCAGATGCAGTGTGGCTGGTGAATGTAAATGAAAGAGCCGAGTTCCATCAGATAGCATGTGAATTGGATGTAAAACTTGGTTGCTCTGACTTTTGTGTGGACTACTTAAATGTTTGGTTACAGAGTAGCCTTGACTCTGTATGTTCTGGGTTTTTTTCAGAGGCTTATGTTGGAAATTAGTGGTTTGAAAGTGAGCGTGAGAACATTCTCTATGGGAGTTGGGAGTTTTGTAATTTAATTAATTCTTTGTTTATAGTGTCAAAACTAGACTAAATTCTGCTGAACGTTTTTGCTACTCTGATTTCCATTCTCCCTTTTTCCTTATGAAGGTGGAAGACTTTAAGTTTGATGGAGTTCTTTTTTCTTTTCTTTCTTAAGGTATATGTTGGTGAGCTTCCTCAAGACTTTCTTCGCATTACCCCAACCCAGCAGCAACAGCAAATCCAGCTGGATGCCCAAGCAGCTCAGCAGCTGCAGTATGGAGGACCAATGGGTACAGTAGGCAGACTCAGCATTACTGTAGTACAGGTATAAATTGTACCATCTTTATAAAATTAAGTAATTGGAATTAATTAGTACAATTAAATCTTTTTTTTGGTCGGCTGCCACAGAAAGATTTTGTGTTGGAACTTGAGTTATGCAATTACTTGTATATCGGGAATTAGTAATTTCTGAAGTTGTTTTGGCTTCATGTTTATGTGCATCAGTATTTTGTCCAGGTTCATGTCTTGTAGGTGCATTGTGCATGGTGCAGCAATTTCCTGTGGACTCTGCTATTGTAGCACATAATCAAATAAACTAACAGTGTTTTTTTGCAGTGAGCAAGTTCCTCTGAAAACTTCTTTTAAGAAGTTGTCCTGTAGAAACACTTAGACTGCAGTCTTCCTTATTAATCACAAGTACATAGTCCTAGCTCTTCATTTTGTGCTTTCTCTCTTCCGTTGTTATCCTCTCTTTTTTGTCTCTTGTCTGTCTTAACGCTATTCTGTTTATTTACATTAGCTTACCAGTGTTCCCTGTATTAACACACCTTGTGTGTTTACAAGTGCTATTTTCAAATCATTCTCTCAAAATATGACAAAGGGATTTAGCCTCAAATTTAGCACCACGCCTGGAATAGTATGTTTGTGGTTACAACTTACATAGTGAGCGGCCTATACAGGGTATCTCGGGAATAAAGGCACTGATCCTTCTGTCTTTCACTGGTCAGTTTGCTCCTTCACGGATGATGTCCTTCCTGGGACTAATGCTTATTCAAAGTTTATTACTTCTAAGGTCTAGATGTCACTTTCAGTTGACATCCTCCTCCTAGTTTTGATGAGTGTCCCAGTCTGTGTTCAGAGAGGCAGGATTGGAAGCCTCTTCTGCAACTTGAGCAGCAGAGCAGTGTTACCTCTTCTGAAGCATAGTGGAAGAAGCTTTAGTATATTTTTTTTCTAGAGCTAGAAATAGATGATTCAGGTTAAACTTCAGGCCTACAAGGAGACAAAACATTTATCAAACAACATACCATGTCTCTCTCAACTCTGTAGCAATTTCTAGCAACTTGTATGCTGGCCCATGGGATGTTCATCTTTTGACTGTTCCCCTGGGCAGCTTCAAGTGTTTTTTGTCACAGGATGGTGATCCAATCAGTGTAGTTGGTAGAAGATCCTGGAGCAGGTAAGGGGGCAGACAGTACAGTGTTCAGGCAGTTTTGCATCTCATTTTGCCTAGGTACAGAAACATTCAAATTCCTATTTGGATGGGTGGACTGGTGGAGCTGATAGTCGTCTTTATCAGGTTCAGTCCTCGTTCATTTTTGGGTGCTTGTGCAGACAAGAGGAAAAAAAAAATTATCTTGCTTGCAGGATAAAAGCGGGTGGCTGTTCTACATGGAGTGTCTGTAAGTAACTACTTGTTTGAGGGTCGCAGAGTAGTTGCAGTTAGAGGAGACTTCTGGAGTTTTAGTCCAGGCCTCATCCACCCCTACCCCACTCTGCCTGCACACATGCCTTCCCTCCCCACCTCAGCCAGCCCCTTAACAAAGGGTTAAGGAGGATACTATGTATAAGGAAAGGTTGAGAGAACTGGGGAACAGTCTTTGGGGGAGTCTTGCCAGTGTGTAGTCCCTGCCATTAGGTATTTATAAAGAAGACAGCCAGGCTCTTTTCAGTGCTACCTAAAGGGAGGACAAAAGGAGCAATGAGCACAAACTGAAATACAGCAAATTCTATGTAAGCATGTTAAAAAAAAACTTACACTTTTTTTACTGTAAGAGTTGTCAAACCTTGTAACAGGTTGCCTAGAGGGATTGTGGAGCTTCCATCCATGGGGACACTTAGAACTTGCCTGAACATTTGACCCCTTTGGAGCAGGGACCTTGGTCTAGACAATCTCTAGAGATCCCATCCACCTACATCTGTTCTGTGAAACCCTTAATTGTGTTAGTGGCTCACTGCTGGACTTGTTAACAAGTTACAACCATGTCTTCTACTAGGCAGCCCAGAACTAAAGAGAGGGGTTCTCCAGATATCATAGAATCATAGAATGATTAAGGTTGGAAGAGACCTTGAAGATCATCTGGTTCCCCCCCCCCTGCCGTGGGCAGAGACACCTCTCCCACTAGACCAGGTTACTCAAAGTCCCATCCAGCCTGACCTTGAACACTTCCAGGGATGGAACATTCACAGCCTCCTTGGGCAACCTCTTCCAGTGCCTCACCACTCTCATGGTGAGGAATGTCTTCCTTCTATCTAATCTAAATCTACCCTCATGCAGTTTCAGGCCATTGCCCCTTGTCCTATCACTACAGGTCCCCCTAAAAAGCCCTTCTCCAGCTTTTCTGTAGCCCCTTTCGTGTATTGGAAGGCTGCTATTAGGTCACTCTGGAGCCTTCAATTCTCTGAGCTGAATAACCCCAGCTCCCTCAGCCTGTCTCCCCAGTGCTGAACAGAAGGGATCATCTTCCTTGACCCACTAGCTACTCTGTTCCTAACGCAGCCCGGGGTGCTGTCTGTCTGCTTTGCTGCAAGGTGGCATTGCTGACTTATTTCCAACCCGGTGTCCATCAAGACCCCAAAGCTGCTCTCCCACCAGATGGCCCGCAGCCTATAGCTGTGCGTACGGCTGTTCTTCCTCGGGGGCAGGACATGAACTTCTGAGATTCCTGTCTCCACACTTCTCCAGCCTGTCAAGGTCCCTTTGAATGGCAGTACAGCCCTGTGGTGTCCCCAGAGCGTCTTCTGTACCTGTCCTGGGAATCTTGGCCATATATTGAGGCATGTGACATTCTGCGCAGGAGGCTTACCACGACATAGTTAACCTGTGGAATATGAAGAGCTGATTGCAGTCTTTTTTATTTAACTATATGTCGATAAAGTATGTGGAGTGGGATGTTTTTGGGAAGGCAATTTGATGCTGTTTTTTTTCATGCAGATTTATAGCAATGGTGGTGAGTTTTTCTAAGCATGGTTGATCATGTCCTCTGAAATTACTAGACAGACAATTTACATGCTCTTTTTTCTTTTGGTGAAGTTTTATGATAAACTGCTTAATCTCAGGGCTTGAGAGTCTAGAGAGCATGTAGCTTAGGTGCCAGCTTTCCTACTTTAATTGTTAAGCCCACATTTACAAGAAACAGTTTGAGACCTTTCTCACCAGCTCTAATATACAAATTGCTGATCCAACACGTGCCCTGAAGGAGAAGAGGTTTCCAGGGCAGAGCTGCAGATGTTGTGACTAAATCTTATGCAAGTTTCAACTGTTCCAGTTCTTTAAATGTACTGTGGGTGGGAGGCAGCCTGAACACTATATTTTGTTGCTTGTCTTACTACAAAAAGAACTATAGGCTGCTTAGTGCAGATCAGAGAAGCAGTATGTCCAAAAAGTCTAATTTCTACTTTGGCATAGCCCTGTAATTGTATTCAGCGTTGTCTTCAGGACTGTCATCAGCTTGTTTCATTCTGTTTCCAATGATGTTACAGAAAAAGCATGTTGGAAATCTTCCGATTCTAAAGTGCATCTGTTTTCATAGTACTGTGGAATTTATGTTGCCCACTGAATTAAGTTATGTGAAATAGAGACACTGAATATCAAAGAGTTTTTTGGGGATTTTTTTTTAGTCACTTTGAAAAGTATGATAGCAGATTTTACCTCAATCAAACTGTTTTTGCAGTTTGTGCTTTTGTACTCTGTGATGTTCTTGAAGCTACTGTATTCCATCCATTAAAAGTACTTCAGTGAAAGAGGACCTATCACATTAAGTTTACGATTGTGTTTTGGACAGCAGATACCTAGGCAAAAACTGAACTTGTTACTGTTTCCTCATACCTTTTGGTTTGGTATGAAGTAACTTATTTTTCTTTCCAGGCGAAACTGGCAAAGAACTATGGAATGACCCGCATGGATCCGTACTGTCGAATACGGCTGGGCTACGCTGTGTACGAAACCCCGACAGCACATAACGGCGCCAAGAACCCCCGCTGGAACAAAGTTATCCAGTGCACTGTTCCCCCGGGGGTGGACTCTTTTTATCTAGAGATATTTGATGAGGTGAGAACTGTTATATTTCCCCCTTCTCCCTTGTCATCTCCTGTCTGGACTAATGCTCAAGCAATATCTTGCAAAAAAACCACCCAAAACCTGAGTTACTAAAGGCTGTTTCTTAGCTCTGGGAAGTGACGAAACTTTTCAGAATCCCAAGAGCATCAGTGCTTAAGGCTTTACTCCTCCCCGAGAATGTCAGAGCTGTTACTTTTGCTTTGGTAACAGATGAGGGGTGTTAATAAGGTTCCCTGCAAAGGAAGGGGGAGCAAAATGTCTGAGTGGTGTCTAAGCTCCTCTTGGCTGTCAAAATGCACTGTAGCCTTCTATTCTGTACTGCCCCTATGAAAAATAGCCTGGTTATACAATGCTACTTTATTCAGAATTTCTTCAGTGATGTTCTAACCCTGGAGGAGCTTGGAAGTTTTCGCAAACTTGGAAATGCTGAGACTAGAACTGTCAAATATAGAGTGTGTTTAGTCACCAGGCTTTATTAGCTGAAAGCACCTGAGGCTAAAGTCCATGGTTTGCCTTTTTTTCTTTTTGCTGCCTCTCTTCCTGCATGCAGTAAAACGTGACACTGCAGCAGCTGTGTGGTTGTTACGCAGGTGAGATTTTCAGATGCTGTTTTGTGGGTGTAGTTGATTGGTTGAAGTTGCCACAGTTTTCTGTGCTGCAGCAGGAGTGGTGGATCAGTGCTGGTATCTGCTCTGGAATTGCTGGAGTTCACAGCCTGTCGCAGCCAACAGAAGCTGTTTACATGCATTTAATGGCCCTGACTGTGCCACTATTAGTATATTGTATCTGTATATTGTATTTCGAGAAGTGTTCTGCTCTGAGTTTTCAGTTTCTTATTATTAAATATCTGCTATCTGTAGTCCTGATTTTAAGCATTGTTCATCCTTGTTGAAAAGTGGACAGGTAAAATATTTGTTGACACTCTTAATAGCTTCAGGAGTAATAATTTAAAAATCAAATTGGCAAAGTGAAAGGGCGTAAAGCTGAAGGAAGTGCTTGTCAAGAATAATTCTAAGATGTCTTCTTTTTCAGGACAATTAATTTGTTAGTATTTTTCTAATTATATTCCAGCGGGCCTTTTCAATGGATGACCGTATCGCTTGGACACACATTACGATTCCCGAGTCTCTGAAACAAGGCAGTGTGGAGGACGAATGGTACAGCCTGAGCGGAAGGCAGGGTGACGACAAGGAAGGAATGATTAATCTGGTTATGTCATACACGGTAAGTCGAGTGAGGGGCGGGAGGAGGAAAGGAGAGAAGCTCCTTGGGATCTAGATTGAAGTAGTTCCACTGTACCTTACTATCTGTTTGTGGGTGTTAGCATTTAAAATAGTTACGCTTAACTTTGGGAATAGCAGTGAAAAATATTAGTTAAGGCAGCAAATACCGATTTACCACCTCACCAAAAAGTATTTATTTATCTGGTTTTGCAATGGCAAAGATTCAACTTATTCCTAATAAGCTAATGCTAATAGAAGTATAAAAATGTTTAGTCAGATAGTCCAGTATCATTTCTAATTTATTATTACTACTGCTACTACTACTAATAATAATAAAGCTTTGTGGAATCTAAAAATAGCTTGGTTTTCCCCCTAAATCTTTAAAAATTCATGTTAATTTAAAAGCAAAAATAGTGGAAAGTCTTCTCTGTCTTGGCTATTTCTTGGATAGTTGAAGTGTTCTTTCTGATGACTTTGATTTTTACTTCCTTTGTTGTTCATTTGGTGCTCCTGGTCATGCATGAGCTGATGACCAACCCTGGTCTGTTTAACAGCTCGTGGACTGTTCTCTCATCTCTCCACTTTGTACGAAGTAGCTGTTGGAGAGCGCGTGTAGCACACAAGCCCCTACTACGCTTGTACATCATCAACAATTCCAAATTGCCGTTGAGCGCTCTCCTGGGAACAGATGTTCCCTGCTGTTTGAGATTCAAACTCTGCCCCACATCTGAACCGTTGTTCCGTAGCCCTTGGAGAAATTAGTTTGTAATTAACCTTTAAAACTGTCTGCCCATGAACGCAGTGTACATAGAATCTGACCTTTTAATAGTTTCCAGGATCAAACTGAACAGGAATTGTGGTAGTAAAAGGGAATGGAGTGAAACTTATATTTTGTTTGGAGTACTTGTTTACCTCAAAAGTAATCAATTCAAGCTAAGGTTTGCTTCTAGGAGCACTCTACTGCTTTTATTAAAATTCCAGTTTGCCCTAGGGTTTCACTTATGATGAATATGTTGTGTATTTGTTTCAAAGAACAGGACATGAAAGCTGATTAAACCCATATGTTAAAATAATAATTCACTTCATTAACCAAGGTTCAGTGACACAATTTATCAGACTATTGCAAAAGGCTAGTTTTACATGATGTGTTCATATTGATTTACAGGCAAATTAATTGTTATTTAAAAGGGTGGTAGTTCCATTCATTTGCCAGAGATTTTGCTTAATATAGATTAGCAACTAGTTATGTTGTAATATTGAACATGGAACATAGATTTGCAATGTGATGATATTGTTGGCAAATACTGTTTTAATTTAAATTAACCAACACTTATAGCAATTGCTGGTTTATTCTTTTCTTCAGTAGCTCTGTTCTAATCTGTGCTTTTTGTGTCAAGTCTTTGCCAGCTGCCATGATGATGCAGCCCCAGCCAGTGGTCCTGATGCCCACTGTGTATCAGCAAGGAGTTGGATATGTGCCTATAGCAGGTAGGTTTTCTCTCCGCGAAGACTCGTAAAACCTCCAGGTGAAGGATTTTGCAGAAGTAATTACCGAATTTCTCCTGTTGGTCAGAATGTAAAGGAAGCTGTAAGTCATTTTCTCCTTAACTGCTCCTCCCATTTTTGGGAGGAGAAGAGTGTAGGTCTGATTTTGGTCTTGTTTAAGGCTGCTGCTTGAATTGGGTTAAATGGATCAAAATGACCATCAAGTTGGAACAAGTAGCTCAAAGGCTTCTCTTCTTGAGTATTTTAGCCGTAGGTCACTGAATAACTAAGTATCTAGCAAGCTTCAATCTTGGTGGCAATCCATGTGTGAAACTGCTCAGACTTCAGAAAGTGCAGCAAATGCCTCGTGCTGTCAGAACCGCAGCTCAAACAGCCCGTGAAGGGACTGACTCCTCTGTGGTCTTTGGAGATGCCTTGTGGGAAACCTGCTGCTCCGAGAAGGAAAAATGTTAGGGAGCTCTCAGATGGTTACGTCAGTATGTCAGCAAGAGCCAAAGCAGCCGTTTTCCATTCGCCTGGTCTGTGCAGAGAATGTTTTGGACTTGTATGGGAAGATGTTAACTTAGTTTTTGTAATTTCTCTATCAAAGATTAAAGGGTTAAAATGTGTAAATAAGCTTGAATTTTCCCACTTAGATAACTGTTAAGTTCAGTTGTTTTTTTGTCTGTTTCACTCACAGCTCTTTAAAGCTCAAGTTCATTGTGTAGACACTTATTCAGTAATATGTGCCTTTTAGGGGAAATTATCGATAGATTTACATATTTTTAATTTCTTTGCGTACAAGCGCACGAGTGAGTGATTGTGTGGGACATAATTGCAGTGCTAAGGGCTGGCAGAACAGATATATATATATTTTTATAT